AAAAACAAAATACATTAATAGGAGGCAATGTTTTTTATAATATCACATTGGATATAAATTAATGTTACATTACATTTTTAGACACATCAACTTAGTTGAGGAGAAAATATGCAGATATCGTGTTGGCACATCCANGTTATTGACCAAATACTTATTTTCCACCATAATTTGCAAATAAATTCTTTAAAAATCAGACTGTTATTTTCTGGATTTTTTTTTTCTCATTTTGTCTCTCATAGTTGAGGTATACCTAGGATGAAAATTACAGGCCTCTCATCTTTTTAATGGGAGAACTTGCACAATTGGTGGCTGACTAAATACTTTTTTGCCCCACTGTAAGTGGTGTGGCTGAGTAATTTAAAGGGTTCATGAATAGAGGGGACTTGAATGTGAAATAAGAACAAGAAAATAAAAGTCTAAATGCATGAAAAAGCAGCAGAATATTTGAACTGAAAACTTTAGAACTAAAAGCTTACGTCACCAATAATGTCTAAAATATGTGGAACATGTTGAAGTCAGTATGAAGTCTCCATCAGATGGAAAAGAATAGGCTGAGACAGTCTGTTAAACTCCAGTGACCACGTCATTAGTCTGCTGCTCTAATTATGTCAATTAGAGTTATGACATCATCGTGTTCCCTGACACAGGTGCTTATATTTGAGCTAACGACGTGTCCAGAGATCAAAGGTTTCCATGGTGATTAGTGAGAGGAAAGCATTTTCATTGTTCTGAATGAGAGATAAACCTGTTACATGTGAATGTTTTGTTGAAGAACCGTAACAGATATCGGTGAAATTTCAAAGCGTGAAGCATGTCAAGGAACTTGAGCATCTGAAGTGTACTTTTTGTGTACTTTCGGGTTAATAATGTGGCCTTTTTGGCAGATTAACTAAAGGTGTGCGGCTGCTGTGATGGGGAAAGGTGAGGCTGAAGTTACAATGGGTTTTAATGGAGACATGTTGAAAGTTTTTGTCACTTCATGCCCTCAAGAGGCATTTTGTTTAATTTTTTCGGCTTAATTTTTTTTAATCTTTCAAGCTACGAGATGTTTTCCTACATTTGTCATGAAAAATTATGTCTCAGGAATGTAGGGTTTATTTATGGCAGGTTTAAAATAAATATAAATCTGTCCTCCACTCTAGCTGTGACATAACGCACTCTAAAATCTGAAGAAGGCCTCTTTACCAAGGTCTGAACAATGTTTAATATCTGTAAAAGTAAGAATCAGATTTAAACGTTTTGATGTTTGAACGGAGTTTCTGCGATGTTCAATGTGGGAGAAGAAGCAGCGCAGAATAACCCGGCGGAATAGTAAATAATTTTGTTCGTAGCATGACAATAAAATATGTATGGAATGGCTATGTTTAACAGAAGTGACATAATGTTACATACATACATGAAGTCACATGCTTTGAAATTTAGAGATTTTGTGGACTTTTAAACTGCAGAAATAATGTGTGAAACAAAAACTAAAAGAATCAAATTTGAGGAATAGTTTGGAAAAACTAAAAGGAAATGCGTATAAATAAACACTCGTATTTTATTAATATAAATGACATTTATTACACAGAACAGGATTGAAACAAATGTGATACCTTTTTCACGTTCTCCTGCAAAGCCTGCTCCTCTTTGATAATATCTCTAAGAGACACATGTGGTTGGGACATGTTCCAGTGGTCCATGTATGGCATCGGAGCGCCGGCCTCTGGTTGGCTGTCCAGTGACTCGTAACCATCCGCACTAATAAGGAAACTTGCTGACTGTGATCGCTCTCGAGATCCAGATCTGGACTTCTGTGAGTCTCCCCAGTGTGCTGAACCTATACATTCAGAGGTTGTGAAACAAAATTATGTTGTGTGAAAACCAACTACATTTCTGTTTGAG